TCTCCTCTGCCACCTCTGATGAAATTTCTGCTATTGATGGAATAGAAAGAATGCAGGTGGGTACTGGGGTCAATTTTTGGGACAATCTTCCCCATCATCAGCTCTCCAAATAGGATTTCACTGTATAATTACTTTATGTAAAAACTGAAGGGTTTTTAATGTAAAAAAAAAAAAAAAAAAGAAAGTGGGGTAAGAGAGAGTGGACACTGTAATGCCTGAAGAGGAGCATATTGTTTCCTTTTTTTAGTGTTACAGAAAATATTTTCTCCTCTGCAAGATCACTCAATGGGAAAGCTCAAAGGCCACATTTGCTTTAGGGAGTGATCTGTCTGGAAGTGCCTCAGACACTTTGCGGAGGTTCTGGTTGGCACAGGTCTTCCACATGGTCCCCCAGGTTATGTCCAATTTGGACAGAAACCAAATCTATTTTTGCAGAGAGCAAAATAAAATTAAAAAAAATGCAGTGTCTGGGTATTCTTCCTGTTGCTCCTAAAAACACAGACTATGGACAAAACCTAGAAAGCCTTACTCAGAGATCTCAGTAAATGGTACAGGGGATTTGCGTTAGTAAAGGCTTCAGGAATTGGCATTTGTGTAATGATTCTGCTAAAAGCAAAAGCATTTACAGTGTTTTATAGCTGATGTGGTAGTAGCTGTCACCAATAATGAACTTTTTCTTCAAAATATTTGAATGTAAAGTTTCAGATTGATGTGAATTATTAATAACAATCATGTAATCTGTAAAATTCAATTTACACAATAATAATCTCCTGACATTTTACACCCATTCCTCAAGTAAGATTTGTAATGGCTCTAGATCCTTTGACAAAGTTAGGCTCAGTATTTATGTTTATTTAGTAATAGAGCAGACAGGTCATTTCTTATGCAAGGCAAGAGCAGGGACCTTTGCATGCCTCTCCCATCATTTTGCAGAACAGTTTCACTTAGAGCCTTAGCCTGTGATTCATTTCACATCCCCACTCCCCAGTGAGATCATTTGGTGTATGTTTGATTTACCAGCAGCAAAGCAGGTGTTGTGTCTTTTACTATCTCAGACCTGTCTGTATAGATTAGAATTGTTACCTACAGTTCCAACTTATACTGAAAAATTTTAGATTTCAGAATACCGAGAGCATGTTATAATTGCTTATCCATAGCATGTTGGCCTGCTTTTCTCTTCTGGGACATAAGGGGCAATCATTGGAGTCTGGATCTGGGGGAAAGGGGAAGAGGTCAGATGTTAAAAATGAAACTGTAGCAGTTCTACTGTTAAGGCAGAACTAGACAATGCAGTAAAACCAAGCTGGTGAAAAATTATCTACCTGTATATTAATGCAATATGAATAACATACATTACCTTTTTACATGGGAAAAATATAGCACCTTTCTCTTCTAGCCCAAGTTCTAGTCCAAAGCTGGAAATAAACACAAGCAAGACAGCAGAACAGCCCTTGTCAGCCAGACAGCTAACAGCTTCATTGTGATCTGGACCTTTCTCTGTCCCGTAGGTTGCTCACACGGCCTGCCTCTCATCTTCCAAAGAAGAAAAAGCTACTTTCTACCTAAATGTTTCAGGTGAAAGCCTGGGTTAGTGAACAGTTGAATGTTACTTTACACATCAAAGAGTTTTACGTGGATTATGTAGGATCAGGGGATATTAAACAGGTGCCATCTCTGCCATGGGAAGTCCCAGCACTACTGCTTGCCAGAACCTAGGCTGATAAACCACATGAGAAGCTGATCGACACTTGCTCTCTTTCTTATACTCATCCAGAATTTGGCCACAGGATGCAGACTGCTGGCCTGGCACAATAAGACCATGTGTATGTTCCCAGTTGTGATGGTTCCATTTTTATTCAGGGTTTTGCTTCAGGGTCTGAAGGGAATCGATGGTTTTGGTTGGTAAGAGCAGCTGAGCAGGCAGGGCTGGTTGCAGTTCAGTTTCATGCTGCTGCTCCGATTGATGTGCAAGGCACAGCCAACAGCAGCACCCTGCTCGCCTTTATCTCCCGTTGAGATGGTTTAATGAGATTAAATGAGAGGTGGTAGCAACCAAAAGGTAGTTGCATTTTAAATATGGCCATAGCTGGACTGCCCTTCCTACTCTTCACACCCATAAGATAAGGTAGGAGCAGAAGAGAGGGCTCATGGTTCAGCTCTGCCAGGGAGGGGAAGCGTGCCTGTTCCCAGTGCAAGCACCAGGAGAGAAGTGAGGGCATTAATGATGTGTGGAGACAGGTCGGTTCAGTTCTTCTGCAATCTTTCCGGATGCGTGAGTTTGAGTCTCACCTGGTCTATTGCCCTGCCACTTCTCTTATGCTGAAAAGAGGGCACAGTGTCATTTAAACTGGTGATTCAGAGGCAGCCAGGTATGATGCTAAAAACCTCTCTCTGTGGTGTTGAAATTGTCATGGCTGATGGGTCAGAGTGACCTTTTATCTTGACTCTGTTTGCCACCTTTTAAAATGCAGCAAAGGCTTCTGCGTTGAATCATAGAAGATACCATAAGCCTAAAACACACCTCTCACTATCTGATATGTGCAACGTAAGAATTCTGAAGCTCAGACTCTTTTGGAATTTGCCAAAATCATGACAAAAGTATTTTTTTTGCTTTTGTATGTATTAATGTTTGAATCTCCCTTGTTCTAGGAAAGGCCCATAAATATAAGCACCTGCTTTTATCACAGTGAAATCAGTGAAAGACATTTCTTTGGTTAATTATCTGCACCATTGGGCACTGCAGTCATACGGCTCCTACAGAAGAGGAGGATTGTCTGAAACCACTTACTAATTCTGTTTCTAAGTCTTTCCATTTCAGATAACATTTTTCTTTAGTGCAGTTTTACATTATTCTTACAAAAGTGCATTTTGCTTTCAGTTCTGGAACCTACTTGGCTTTCCATGGAAGGCAAACAGTTCACTGCACATAGACTCCCAGGGATCAAATGTTAGCTCTTAGTGTGATATCATCTTCTGCACATTTTTATATTATTGCAGTTCATAACACTGCACCACAAGATGGAAAACAGTAAAAGCCTCTTTATTTATAGGGTTATTACAGGTATCCTCCAGTGTATCTCATGTGTATACATCCTGTCAAAATATTTCAGGCTTTTGACAACAATGCCTGAACTTGTTTCAAGTGACATGACATGGCTTTTAACTGTATTTTTTTTCAGTTTTATTATTTTTCAGAATAGCTAATAAAACTGTTACCATGCACTAAAACAAAACAAAACAAACAAAAAAAAAAACAAAACAAACAAACAAACAAACAAACAAACAAAAACAGAATCCTTTGGTGAAAAAAAAGGTTTAAATAAGCAGCAATTGAGGTCTGTAGTTAAATAACCTGTACAGGAAATTATTATGGTGTTCTCTATAATTGCTCTGGAAAAAAAAACAATTCTTGGAGTCTATGGAAGACATAACAGACCTAATTAATGCCCACACAGTTTCTCCAGAGAAACAGATTTTGTGTAATGTAAATGCACTGCATGGGAAATGTTCTTGTGCTTATTTTATACTTTGCCCTTATTTTGTGCTCATACAGCTGTAGCGTATAGTGTTTTACAGTGTGATGTGTACCTGTCTTCACAATTGCAAGGTGTATTATAATTTCTGAAATGTGAAAAAACATTATATATTTTCTCTATTTTTTTTAAATGCCCATCCCAATTATGATCCAAGGTGTATTTTCATGTCCAGAGTGTGTGTGTGTGTGTCTGTGCACGTGCAGAGGTTCGTGTTCTAAAATCAGTGAATATTTCATTTTTGTGTTCATTATACGTGTATGTAAGTGTAGGTGTTATGAGGAGCATTCTTTTTAGCTTTTAGAATAAAAGCTGAATCAGAAGCTGAAAACACTGACACATCTGGAATTTCAGAGCAATTCCAGAAACTGACAATTACTGTTTCTCAACCAACCCTGCACCCCGTCACTGATGGATGATTAGAGTTTAGCTAATGAGAAGGTGTTCAGAGAAGAGTCAGTGGTCTCTCTGCGTTTAAATCTGAGTTGACATCCACAATGTGGCCCAAAAGAATGTCTATAAATGGTCAGACTGTTCTCTACTGTCAGTAATTTTGTGTTTACAATTTAAACTCTGCAGGTCAGGGAACATTGCTTTATATGTCTGTATTGCTGTCTGTGTTTCTAAAGCATCTAAAATAAAGTGACCTGGCCTCCCAGTGCCACAGGATGGCCAGTGGTGGTAAGCAGAAAAGGACCTTTCTGTTCTGTGCCTGGCAATGCACACTCATACTAACAGGTCAGATGAATGGATGCTGTTAGGTGAGACATTTTTCTTGGAACCAGTGAAAGGACAAGTGGCAATGGGCACAAACTGGAGCACAGGAAATTATGTTTAAGAAAAAGCTGCAAAGGAGATTGAACACTGGACCAGGTTTCTCAGAGAGGTTGTGTAGTCCCTGCCTTTGGAGATATTCAAACCCCTACTGCATACAGTCTTGGGTAGCCTTCTCTAGTTGACCCTTCTCTGAGCTGGGATGTTGAACAAAACAGTGCCTTGCAACCTCAGCAAGTCTGTGGTTCTGTGATTTGCTTGAGTGGGACCTAACTGGATATATCTGTGTTTCCTGATCAGAGCAGGCTGGGGAATTCACTGTCTTTCTGCAGGCAAAGGTCTGAGCATAGCTGGTAGTTTGCCACTGTGCTTGACATACTTGGCACCAGCACCCTGGAAGGCACACTTGGGACTTGGCTTGCAGGCTTACTTCTGAACAGCCTTCGAGTCTGGTCTAAGGGCTGCCATTAGGAAACCTAGCCATAATTAGTGTTACTGAGTCCTTTTTTTTCCTGAACTGCTGTGGTGGTATCATGACATAGGATTAAGCAACCAATTAACACCCTGAATTATTGTAGTTCTTTCCAAGAGAAGTTGCAGAAAGGGTCATCTGATAATCAGTAAGTACAAAGAGCTTGCTATTTCTGTATGCTCCTCTGCCAGGATGTTGCTGATAACTGACGTATTCTGTAGGTGTGCAGTGCAATCCAGAATCAAGATTTCACTGTTATTGATGACTACTGCACAGGACTGCGAGCTCTTCTTTACCTGCAAAGCATTGAGGAACTTGAAGACTGGAATGGACAGAGTCCTGCAACCATGCGCCATCAGAAAGGAAAACCAGTACCTAAAATTGCTGATCTGATGGGAAAGGTATGATGTTTCATTGCTATTCCTGTATAATGGCACTATGTCTTGGCTTTGAATGCAGTTCCATAATAATTGGGTGCAATTTCTGCTACTTGCCTTGTTTAGCCACTGCTGTGATAATTAGTCACGAGGTCTCTTTCCTTCTGAGTGTTAACAAATATCTGAAGGCACCTTAAGAAGACAAGCTTGAAAAGACTTGATATGGAATAATATTTTCACAATAAATGTGATCTCTCCACTTGATTCATAACATCATGTCTTTATAAAGTGTAGGATGTAAAATTACAAATGCATTGGAACAAGTTCTATAACTACTTGTTTTAATGAAACTCAACTCAGTTCAGACTGATGCTAATACTGTGCCAGAAGGTCCTGGGTGTTCCAGCTAGGATGCAACATTCAGAAGACATGGAAGTCCCCTAGCACTGGACCTGACTAGCTGAGACAACTTATCACAAATCACCTGTTAGCTGGAACACTAGGTCAGGTAGGAGTGGCCCATCAATCATCATACTTGAGCATCTCATAGCCTTTAATGTGTGCAGACTCCCAAACCAATCTAAAAGGCAGGGAAGTTCCAAGTGAGGAACAGTGATACCAGATAATTTAATAGATTCTACAAGATCATTTAAACCTAGAAAAATCTGTGGTGCAATAGGAATATAAACTATGATCTCTCTGAAATCCTAACCTCTGGACTGCTTTCCTCTCTGCTTTAGTAGTTCCCTGCTACAAAAGCATCTTTGGAGATTTTCACCAGATGCAGTGGGTTGCAGCCACCCCCGTACTGCTCACCCGTCCACCAGGGCACCAGCTAATCCATTCTGAGAAGCAAAGAGGTGTAACTGGCTTCCTACTGGTGCCCTGCTGCCTACACTGCCTACTGCTCTAAGCGAAATACCTGCGCAGCAGGGAGGCCGAGCTTTTGTTTCTGGCTACTAGAGGGGATCACTTTGAAGACTGATTTCATTTATATACCATGCCTATTGATTAGCCTTCCAAAAATCTGATATAACAATGTTGAAATGTTGTAAAAAGTAAAGAATTACAAAAGAATAGGATTTGGTTTGTCAAACACCTCCAAATCTCTGCTTATTGTTACTGATGACTGGAGTTGGATTTAGCAGGAGATTAGAGACGCCTATATTGTTGTTGTTCTCTGTGGAGCTCTGAAAATTATAACATTACTTTCCAGGAGAAAAGACAATCCTGTTCCTAAAGCTCTGGATAATACGCTGCTTAAAAATAAAACAAGATATAAGCAGTTTCATTTTCGTCTACTTATGTTAAGCAGTTAAACCAGGCTCAAAGGGCTATAGCTGAACTTCCTTCCTTTAACACCTGTAGAAACACACACAGAATTTCCACCTCACATAACAGAGATTTGTTGTAACTCTTCTTTAAAGGTGCATTTAGTGTTCTTTGTATTAGCTTTGTATTTTACTAAACAGACAACCACTGTCAAAGATGTTTCTCATGTCCTTTTGAATGTGAAAAAAAATTATAATTCTTAGTCTTTTCCACTTGTCACTACATCAATAATTAACTTTAAACAGGTAGCATGAAAAGATGCTTTAAGGAAGCATTTAATAATTCAAAGGAATCTTAACCTGAAACAGGTCGCATGAAAAAGAATGAAAAACAAAGCCCTGTGTAATCTTGTCTGGCTGGCTCTGTTAGACATTTGAAAGGAATAAGGCATACAGAATATATCTGATTGTGTATTTGATTGTCTTTAGCACTGAATTATATCATTGGCTCATTGCTGCTACATAATAACATTTAAAATTAACCAGGCTGCATTATTGGTACAGTAGAGATGTATTTTAGGCATAGGCTCAGGATGGCTGCTTGTCCAGGAATGAATGTTCAAGAGAAAAGGAAGAAAAATAACACAACATGAGTAAAAGGAAATACCATGATAAATGATCCTACTAGGGGCAATCAAATACAGAGGTTTGATATCATTAATATTTATAATATCATAATTAGCAAGACTGTGCCTTAGCAGTATTATTAGTGTAACTAATTATGTTATCATAAACTAAGTTTGCAGTATTATAGGAATCAGTATTCTTACCTTCATAAATTATTATCAATATTGGATTTCATGTACTTGTGCCTAGTAAATTTAGTTACATACTGTAGTTTCATCTAGATTCATACACAGATATCTAGCTTTCTTGGCAGGAATTCATAACACACACCTCTGATTCTCTTTCTAAAATAAATTCACTAAAAATCATGTCCTTGCTCTCTATTTAGAAAAAAAGAAGATAGCCTGTTGGTGTGTATGTTCTCACTGATAAAACTAATGTGTAGAAATACCTATGCTATACATGGAGTAGAATGTGCTAGCCAAAATTGTGCATTATGACTTAAAATCTTACAAGGATCTGTCCAAATTTGCTTTGGTATTACTGTAAGATTAAATGCGGTTTCTTCAGTAAGACCCTGTGAGAAGCTGCACTGCAAATACCGATGAACTTCTGCATTCTAAAAAAAAAAAAGTGAAGATGATAATTTTCCTATGTTGTATTTCTACTATAGTAAATGTAAAAATATAAAGGATTTATCCTCCATTTTGTTACAGAATTCCTATTAATTTTCATATTGATTCATGGGGATAGGAAGTTTGAGAAATTGTCAATTTAACGAGAGGGCACTGAGGGACAAGAATAATTTTCAACAGCATCAAGAACCACTTGCCTTCTGTTCATATACAAATTCACAGAGGCTCTCCCAGTTTGGAATATATCGCAGAGACTGCATTTATTCTATTATTCCCAGCAAAGTGTGTGTGTAATAGTATCTATTGTGATGCACAGTGCAATATTAAATGTTAATGTCCATATTTTTATATAGAAGTGCACTGTTCTTTTGATAATTTATTTTTTGTCTTGGTTTCAGCATCAAACAGATGCTGAGTGTAGTTTTGCCACAGGAGAGTGACACAATAGCGTTTTGTCATGAAATATGGTAGTAGTTGATGACCAGAGTAAACTAAAAGATAAATACTTCCTTCTAAATTGTACACCCGACATCAAACTGAAGCTGTCTTGCCATGTGGTCACCAGATAAATGACAAGGTGAGCTGAACAGTTATTGCTGTCAGTTGTTACATTTATCACAATAATTTCCTTCCTAAACAGAAAGAATGATAAAAATAATTTGCTAAATACTGTAATATAGCAAGAGGTTTAATAGCAAACAAATCAGCTTCAGGCTGAAAACGAGAATCATGTTGATTAGTACTTGTTCCTGCTTCTGCATTAATGAAACTAATACTTTCACCTGATAATTTATAGTCCTTAACATATGAGAAGCATCATAGCACTGAAATATATTTTGGAAACTGGAGTGCTCTTTTAATGTTTTTCACTGTTGCAGAATGCATTTTTTTTTGTCTATAGACCCTAAATTTATCATCTTTGAGCCAGCTCGTAGACATTTTCTGATAGTCATTTCGATGGTGCCAGCTTTTTTCCTTTTGCTAACGCAGCAGTTGCTGCTGGAGTCGATACTTGCCGTTGTCCATGATGTGACCTGTGGTACTACGCTGCCTGTCATAGCAGTGAGGTTCCTGCTTAGATATGCTAACCTCAGTCGTGGCTTCCAGGCACCAGCTGATACTGTTTTCCATAGCTATACCCATTTTATTCCTTTTTTTTCTGTGGTTTTAGCCTTACCCCTAACTGCTCCAAAGACAGTCCTAGACTCACAAAGGTGAACAAAGCCAGTCTTCTGGGCTTCCTTCCTCACTGCTTTTCTGATGGCTTATTTAGTTGTTTGAGGGCTATTTTTTTTTCCTGTGGAGGACCTGATTTGAAGCCTTGACAGAGATGACTGTCATGAATATCACCTCTGAATCACCTTTCCATTAAATGCATGGAATAAAACTTGTCACCTTGTCTCAGCTATAATCTCAGCTTGCAAATCTCGACACTGAGATGAGAGAATGGCAGGGTAATGATGACACCACACTTCTCACTGACTCCCTCGAGGAAGAACTTTTGTAAAAGCACACTTACCTCAGCATGAATTTAGGACTGAAATCAAGTGCATGGTGCAATCAGGCAGACAGTTAAGATGTAGAGCATGCTCTTACAACCCAAAATTATTAGGGTGGCTGCATAAGAGAGAGGGAGAGCACAGGTAGTATCCTTACAATGCAAAATTAACAGAATTATGTTTTAAAATAATGTTCCTGAGTTTCTCGGGAAGACACATAACTGGGAGCAAAAAAAAAAAAAGACAACTCTGTTCTCACCAGGTATCTGGATAAGGTACAGTGTTCCCCAGAGGTACAATTTGATCTCCTGTGTGTAGTTACTGTCTCACCTTGTCTGTTTATTACAGGACACTTTTATTAGTTGCTCACTGATCTTACTCCAGAGAGCTGAAGCCAGTATGTGCCAGAAATGCACTGATGTCAGCTGGTTGTCACAGAAGTCGTAGTGTTTTTCTGTATAAACTTCCACCTAATGTCAGGTATAAAAATCATATTTAATGCAGAGGCCACTATACGTGCTGGGCAGCTAAACATTAAAAATACAGCAGCATGTTCATTTGGTAGGTGTGAGTTTATAGGTAGAGATGGTTATATATGGATGTTTCATACCTTGCTTTCAGCACCAGAATTTTGAAAAAGCTGACATTTGTTTGATCATGTCTAAAGGTTAAAAGGTTAAAAAGATGAAGTAATACAAGCATCTTGATTCCAGAAATATCCAAAACCCAAAACAAACTGTTTTTCATAGTGGATCCTTCTCAACTATTAAGGTTGTACTGTACTGTAAATGTTAAAAAAAAGTGATAAAAACACATTTATAGAAGGTGGTTTTCTCCAGCAGACAAATGAGTGAGAATGATCCTGAACATGCACAATGTATGAACTTCAGTGAAAATTCTCATCACCTTAAATTTAGCAAACTTCTGATTTCATACTCTGTGAATGCATGGGCTTCCATTAGGACTAAAATACACACTTCCTTCAAGTACCT